ATTTTAGCACTTGTTCAGGTTCGCCAAACTCTGCACCTTGTGCCCCTAATCTAATACCCCTATCGTCAATGCCAGCAATTAAACAATCGACGGCCCTTTTTCCAAATATCTCACAACGGTTGAGTAAGTTCATTTTTGAATAATAATAAAGTTCTAGCGAATCACCAAAACGAACTCTCTTATTGAGCATCTCTGTTAATAATTCTGCGTAGTTATCACGTGAAGGAAAAGACTCCTTTAGTTTGAACTTCCATTCAGACCAGGAAAAAAGTAAAGTAGGTAAGCCCTGATACCACGTTCTTGCTACCCCACTTAATTTAGGCAAGGAGTAATGTATAATTTGCCTTTCATCCCAATTATAAATTTGGGCACACTCTTCAATCTTATGGATCCATGCGTCTATTGATTGTTCTTTACAAAGCGGGTCGAATTCAGGAATAACATTATTAAATACAGGAAATTTATCACGATCACCTACATTCTTGAAATCCTTCATAACGTCTATAAATTTTTCAAATAATTTTGTTTCATTGTACCTTGGTTCATCTATTGACGCGGGTGAACTGCTGCTTGAAGTCTTTCGTCGCCGCTGGTGGCGATGGTGCCGGGATTTGTTCTCCTTGCGCTTGCTTAGCGACCGAGAACGCTCACGGCTGAACGTGCCACGATCGGCTCGACGCCGGGACCTTGATGATCTTGTCTCTCGTAGCTCATCTCGCGAACGAGATCTCAGCTCTCGGGAATGATTGCCGATCCGTTTAGACATGATGACTCATTAGTTCCTTTTCAGCGGTATCCCACTTCTGAGATGTTAATATCGACGAACTTTTGCACAGGAATGGCGGTACATCAAATTAAATGCTTGTTTTTAACAACTGTATATTTCGTGTGGCATTAGCCTTTACAATACATGTATCCACTTATTATCACACACCGAAACAATTTATCATAACCGTAGTGAACACTTCACTAATCTAGTACCATTTACATAGATTCCACAATACACGTCAATGCGTTACGACTGTTGATCTACGAATGACCCCTTTACTGTCTACCCTTATAGCTTTTATATCAAGAATAAAATAGGATTTGGATTTGACTTCCGCAAAAGTCAAATCCATAGTCAATAACAAAACAGAGTATTTACCAACCGGATGTTATCGGGAGATATTCAAAATGTCAACAATAGTAAGAATAAAATAGGGTTTGGATTTGACTTCCGCCAAAGTCAAATCCATAGTTAATAACAAAACAGAGTATTTACTAACCGGATGTTATCGGAAAATGTACAAAATGTCAACACATATATCCAGAAATATTTAATATTTTGCCTTACACAATTCTCGACAGTATCCATATAATAGGCATAACGTAATTTAGATTCTGTTTTAAAATGTTTTCTGTACAATGCAAATGTTCTATAATCTGATAAATTTCCGTACTTTTTCCATTTAACCCAAGCATTATGTTTATTTTTGAAGATATGTACCTACCTATGTGACCAACAAAATATTTCAGGTATATCATTCTTTATTACCGAAGATTTTTAGTAGGAAGTTATGAAACGTGAATTTATTTATTTTTATTGTTAGATAGGTACTTATAGCAAAAAAGAATTAAGTAATAATTTATTTAATATCTTCGAACTTTATTAAAAATTTTGGTGAAAATTTACTTCACTCTCCAAGTATCTACTTACGTACATATACTTGCCTTTTGTATTAAAATATTTTAAGCTTTTATTTTAGCTTAAAATATTTTAAGCTAAAATAACACAAAACACTGAAATCAAAACTTTGTTTACCAACAAAAATTTTAACTAAGTAGAATACGATTACATTTCTGTTAGGAATCGTATTTCAAGTTTATTTGTTGTTTACACTATCTACCTTTTCCATCCGAACCAAGCGTCGCGATTCCCAACGAATGGCCTTGCAAGTTGCATACCTACGTTAGGCATCGCAGAACTCACGTAGGTGCGAAGATATGGTCTGTCGATCATAGTCAGAATAGGTATTTCACCTAAGTAACCTAATTAATATTTCGCAATTTATTTTGTTACTCTTTATTGACATCCCTCCATAACAACGGAAAGTCCACCGTAACGAAGGAAGGGGAAAAAATGCAAAGTAATACGGACACTCTCGCGCAGCGATAAAGTTTTATTTAGCTTGCGAGCGCGATTTATCTGATTAATAATAATTATGTAGGCTATTAAACGTCGGCAAGCAGTCAACATTAAAAGAGTGAAACTTCTGTACGTAGTACTATTATTTATTCTGTGTCAATACGTAGCCCGCACTTTCAAAACAGTAACGTGTGTGTTTACTCGGCATGTTTCGTATCTTCTCGGCAAACGGTACCTACTATTACATAAAATGGAGGATGATGTTTATCAGTACTTACTAAAGGAATAGTCATTTATATTAGTAATAAATAGATCTAGAATAACATTATTTGAATTTTATATGTATTAATTGGTGTAAAATTATAATATGATATAAAATTTATTTAACTATTGCGTGAAATTGACATATCGGAAAAATTATTAGTTTCAAAATTAAGATCCAATCATTCGAATCTAAAGATGGCATATTGTAGTCTCCTACTAGATAAAAATTATTACATAATTGGTAAACAAATATTCTATATAGCTCAAGTATACATTACTCTTTTGGTTAGGCGCAATACAGACAGCATTTAATAGATTGAGTTTTTTTCCACCCCTTATCTCAAGTGTAACGTGATCTATTAATGGGGAAAGTGCGGACGCAGAGAAAGAAGTCCGGACCTCGTCAGTGCTAAGCGTACGGCGTACCGCTATGAGCACTCCCCCATAAAAAGTACTCTGTGTCCCCCATCGTCCCTCCGGTCACACGCATCACGATTTCTGTCGCATCAATACACAGTATATTTGGTATCAATGAATTCGTTATCAGAAATATGACGATGTAACCATGTTTCCATTAAAAAAAATACATCATATGCATGAGAAAGAATGTTCGTATATATTATAGTATGTAATTTGGTCCGAAGCCCTCGGCAGTTTTGGTAGTAAATAGACAAGCTATCCATTTATAAATATAAGAAATTGTGCTGTTACTGAAATAATAATGTTATATTTATGTATGATTAATATATATATTGAATTATATGTAACCCTATAAATAAATAGACATCAACAGTTATAATAATTATTTCCTTAAGATTACGAATAAAAACATAAACAAAGACTATTTTGCCCGCTTTGATCAACAGCCAACTTAGTATTTTAAATAACATGTAAACAACATTCATAAGGCTCAACGTACTTGTGCTTACCCGCAAAAGTATAATATTAACAAATTGATATTTAATTAAATTTACCTCACAAAATAAAATATAATAAGAGAACGGAGAAAGAGTACATACCTACTAGAACAATGTTAAAATATTATTCGTTTTAAGTCCAACCTGTAATTGTTTAAATTACCTATCACCACTATTTAATATTTTTGATATTATCCAAAGATCGAATTGCCATAGCTGGCGAGTTATCATTCTTACGCATCAATATAGTTCCATGCTTAACCCACACATACTTGTATTCATTAGCTTTAGCTGCATTTCGACATTCACGAAACAAAATCTTATTTTTTTAATGTCAAATGCTCATTTACATATATAGTATACGATGGTCCAGAGATCGATAACTTCTCTGAATTTAAATTTTTACGTACACGGCAGGCAGCGAGGAAGTTTTCACGAAGAATTCTTGATGAAGATTGTACAATAATATTTTTTTGGGCGAGAATCCTTGTGTTCAGTATGAGGAACTCGATGAATTGCGGTGATATTAGTTGAAAGAATCTTTTGGTCAACTATAACCCCCAAATTAGTTATTATAGTTAAAGATTTTCGTCTTTTTTTTTCAGGTAAATTTGAAATTTCAAGATTATTAACCCCTAGCCTGTTGTTCCATTGATGATAACTTATTTTCCAGACCAGCATTCCGCTCCGAAAACTGTTGGATTTTTTCTTCAAGCCCTTTAATACGCGCGTCAAATTATGACGATCAAATCTTGACGTAATTCAGAGGAATATATGTTATCAATATCCATAAGCTTATTGTTAACTTCCAGTAACGAATTTTTTTAAAGCAGTATTATCTGAAATTATCCCGGCTACGGCCAATTGGATTATATTTATTGGTTAAGGTATCCGTTATTTTAGTGAGCTCAGCAGACAAAACAGAGCGCACCGAGTTTGTCACTAATTTTTCTATATATTTTTCGTTTAAGATATTGTTGGAAAATATCGTACTATGTTCGGATATGTCGTCCATTTCTTTGCGCTTTCTACAAGTAACGAAGTTATTGGTAGAATCGATTTCACGCTGCAGATCTGGGCTTGACATACACTTTATCTTTTGCGGAAGTGTACGTTACATCGCAAATACACAAGTGAGAACAAAAATATGCACAACTTGTCTTTTGCTAGCGGAGGTGAGGTGCGGGCGCCCTTCATATTCATGAGATGCAATGATAGACAAAGAAACAATTATCCACGTTCGATCGATCGTTACAAACTTTGTAGATTGTCAAAGTAATTTGAATACACAAATATGCATCGAGAAGTTGCTACTTTTAAAAAAGTCAAGTTTGTATGCACTTTTTTAAATTGTTTTTCAAACAACAAACTGCACGTCTACTCTCAACGATATTAAGAAACAGACTAAAACCTCCGATAGGCAGCGTGACCAGATTTCATATGACGAATCTACTGCTTGTGGAGGTTAAAATCTACTGAATTCTACCAAAACAGAACGAGAAAATACTAAAAATCTATTTATTTTTTGCTGTCGTGTTACAACGTAAAAACATGAATTTTTTTTAGATTAAACGATAAAATAATAAAATAACAAAGAAACAACCATTAATTAAAGAAACTAATGTTTTTTTAAACTTAAATTCTAAATAAAAATATAATTTAAAAAAAAAAGAATAAAATGAAACTTAAAGTTAAGATTCTTCATCATTTTTTTGTTGGGTTACATTGTCATAAAGCTGTTTTGAGTCCATTAACTTGATCATACTTCTGTCAGGATTAAATCTGCTACATCCTCCTTCCAACTGTCGTAGCCCCTCTTTTCCATGCATTATTGCTGCAACATTCTTATTATTAAATCGATTTCGATCTTGATTTTTAATCCTATTAATGTCGGAAAATATTCTTTCTACTTTGGCGTTTGACAAAGGTAGCATCGTCATTTGCTTCACAAATCGGGACAAATTGCCATACTTTGGTTTGCTATTCGCATCACAGATTTGGCTGACTTCGCTCCAAAATTTATCCACCATAAAAGTTTCAGATGTCGAACTAGAAGTTGACAATAAATTAGACACGGAAACATCTAATTTTAATTCCCTGTATTCATTGTCAACAATTTGCATGTTGTCGGTTGCAACTATGTTAGGAAACCTTTTGAGTATTCCTATCAGAGTTCGAAATTCACCATACACCGCTTTTTGGGGATCGATGAATGACAAATCCTGCAAAAAATTATCTTGTACAGGCAGTCTTTGCAGAAATTGGTTACTCAGCTCGATCAAAAATGACTGACATCTGTTAAGGAATTCCTCAATTTTAGATCTCATTCGGACATCATCTTTTAATGATTCCAATGTCATTGCTACGTTTGTGCCCAGGTACATGTTTTGTATAGGAAGGAAATGCATTCTTGAACTTGGATCTATTGACTGAAGTGGAGTAGTTTTTATATAATTTATCTTCATAAAACAACTCAAAATTGAACTCATCATGTTTTGTATGTCTGTTCCAATTTTATGAATAAGTGTCTGATCACTTTGAAAAATAACGTTAAATTTTGTAGTTATGGGTAATATAAAATCTAAAAAGTAAAGATAAAGTTTTGTCTCATCGCTGTTAAGGTGATCAAATATAAATTGACAAGTGGCATTGGCATTCTTATTCCCTAAAAACTCATTTTGAAAAAAAAGTTTTAATGCTAACCACTGCTCTATAATTCGGTGTATGCATTGATGTAGAGAAAGCCACCTGATATCATAATGACGAAGCATATGGTGAGTTGGAGTGTCAGTAAAATTTTGAAATTCCACAAAGTCTCTTTGTCGTTGGCTACTGTGAGAGAAGTATGAAAAAACATCTTTGACAAACAACTCTATAGAACGAGGTAATTTTTTGCATGCATAACTCACTGAAAGGTTTGTTGAGTGGCAAATACATTTGAAAAAAATGCAGTTTGGGTTGACTTCCCTAATTTTAGATACCACGCTACTCGCTCCTTTCGCCGAACATTACATTCGTGGTATCAGCAGCGAACCCTATTAAATTGGCTATAATAAGGTTTTTTTCAGATAAGGCACATGTTAAACTATCAAACAAATCTTGCGCAGTATCACCTTTTAAGTCCACCATACACAAAAATTTTGTTTGTGGAGATTGCAATTTTTCAGAGTAGTACTTTACTGCTACTGCAAGTACCTTGGTAGTACTGACATCTGTGCTCTCGTCGATAATGAGCGAAAATACTGGGCTTCTCTCAGTTTCATTTTCTGGTCTTGGACGTAATTCTGCAAGCATTTTTTCCTCGAAGTTATTGCCTAAGACGTTGTAGGCAATTGCGGCAGATTTAGTTCTTCTACAGGAAAAACGTTTTGCGATTTTGGAGTCGTGAAATGCCCTTGAAATAACTTCGCTTACATGATCCATTACGCGAAAAGCAATATTATGTTCAACTAAGGCAGCTACAATGCTGATTTCTGCTTTTTTTACTTCTTCCGAAATGGTTGATGTTTTGAAAATCGTATCAATCTGTAACCAAAGAAGTTAAAAATAATTATACAGGACATTTCATATAGCGCTATGTAGTATCAAATACTAAGCAATTTTTTACATAGCATTTAACATGAATAAACACACACATAGTTGTATAGTAATTGTTATGTAAATGCGTAGGTAATAAACGTACATAAAACAGCGAATGTTTGAATTTTGAATGAAAATAAAATTCATGAACTTTAAAACATAATACGGGTTCACACTACTGCGTAAGTTGAAAGTATTAAAAAAAAATCTTAACAAGAATAATTAACTAAGAATTACATTCCACATATTAACGTAAGTAACTTGCATACCTGAGAAATGCCGGAATATCCTTTCATATTTTTTATATGCTTTGATGTGGCCATGTGTTCTTTCAAAGACGCCACTCTACTTAGTACTTCACAGTTGCATGCTTTACAATGAGCACTCGTAGTGTTTACCTTAGATTTACATAACCAACTTTTAAATGAGGGATCTTGCTCCCATTCACCGCGATATCCTTGTGTATATTTAAGTTTCATTTTAAATTCGATTATAAAAAATCTCAATAAAGGAATCCCCACTAGTCTATCCACATTCCATGCTCAGAAAACGACTAATAAAATTGTGTTGTCTAGTCTATCATTATAGAAGCAACTTTAAAATGATCTAAGTTGAAAGACCTATTTTACAAAAATAGCCTTTATCTATTGGAAAATGAAATTAAATTTGCTATGCCCACAGTACCGTTCATTCAATAATAAGGGAATCCCCCCAAATCACTTTCGTGTGCTGCCAACTGTAAAATTAAAACTTTTTGGACGTGGATGCTTGGTTTTAAGCCTAATATTTTTGACAGAGAATTAATACCAAAACCTACCGATGTGTTTCTCATTTCTACTAAATTCTACTAAGACATTTTATCCTACTAGATTATCATCTTATTTGCTTCAAATCTACTAAAAAAGTAGAAATCTACTAAAAATGGTCACGCTGCCGATAGGAGTAATAGTGTTCTGTGACTAAAACTAAATATTTAAGTGACAGAACGCAAAAGGTTGTCAATAATAGTATGAGTTCTTCCAGGTCGATTGTACGAATGTGCGTGCCCCAGGGCTCAATTCTATAACGCTACAATATGTAATAAAATACCTGTGGTTCTCGTTAAGAGCGTTATCAGAATCAGTATTCAAACGTATAGAAATAACTTTAATTCAGAAAACTCGACATAATAGTAATCAAATTAAATTTTAATTAAATAATATTTGTAAATTTTACCAGATGGCGGCTTACATCAAAGACGGAGCGGGGCTAGCGCGCTCGCGCGCGCGCTCATTAGGTATTCACTAAGGTCGTGACCTCATCACATCGCTCAGCTGCTATCGCTTTAGTAGTCGATAATCACAACTCTTAAAATTTTATTTCGACCGATTGTGGTAATTATGCACACAAACACTATTTCAACACTGTCTTCTTGACGACTACAAAGATGTTGTTCAATATGTCCGCCTTGTAGCTCTATACATTTGCAATACCGACTTATAATGATTTCTTATATTTACGCGAACACTACCTACACATTAAAATAATACTAGTTTTTACGGAATTTATCGCGTATATTTTACTTTTTAAATACCCGACGTTTCGAACGCTTTACAGCACTCATGGTCATGGGCGGGACTGAGATGTTCAACGTCCATATGTCATACATAGTTAACCGGGGTTACCATAGATTAAAACTTAACTTTTGTTCCGATCTATACAGTATGAACTTATGGTATCTTGAAGTCTTGCAGTTGTATGCTTGGGTTGGGATTTAATTTTATTTATTTTAGGATCCCAAGCAGATGTAGCACCCAGCCATCTCCTCTATTGAAATTAGGATGTTTTTTGATTTCAATAGCCTCGCGAATCATCCTTGGAAGGAATCGGTGTTCTTTAGCGAGGATTTGAAACGTCGGGTATTTAAAAAGTTAAATATACGCGATAAATTCCGTAAAAACTAGTATTATTTCACCGGCTTATAATGTCTGAAATTCTGCATAATTACAGTCACATTTACCGAGACACATCAACATATTAAAATATACCCCATTTGAGTGAGACATCGCATACAAGTCACTCACGGCGGATACTTAATTTTGAAATATAAAAAACAGATCCACCTGGAAGTAATTTACGCGGGTGACAACAGCTCTCAATATATGTATAATCGAGGTTTGTTGTGATTATTGATGTAATTTTTAATAATAGTTATTATTTATTTATTTACTTTAGGCAGAGCCCGTAAGTGTTATAAATTAAATTATAGCTAGGATTATTAAAATACATTAAAACAGTACACACAAGAAAAATTAAAAAAATAACATATTATAGGTACTTTAACTGTCATGCTGCTGTGTTTTTCAGTTTACTAATTAGCATTTTTGTCGATAAACAATACTTATTTTAATTTCTATTCTTGACTACTGATTTGTGACAAAATTTTAAAATACTACTAGCAAAGAATAAATAATAAATCTTAGGTGGAAGAGGAAGAGTGGAATATTTTCGGTTTTTCCCATAATATGTACCTACCTAAGTCATTGACGGCTCACGATTTTGAGTTTAAAGATCACGCGAACGCCGCCTATTTTACAGTAATTTTGTTTACAATATTACATTCTTAAATAAACAAAAATATGAATTTATTTTAAAATAATTCCTGTTACATATTCTTTATCGAATCAAATTTCACACGTTAAATACATATACTAAATTTCTTCTACAAAATGTCGAAATTTTGGAATTAATCACGATATTTTATGCTTGAAATAACCTTTTTTTAACTATTTTACCTAGATGTATTTAGTAATAAAGTGGAAATTTATAACATAACATAGTCCTTATGGCAGAATCACTGGAGGACTTAAGCACTATGCTCAATGACCTCAATAATGCCTCCCAACGGATAGGTCTTAAGATGAACATGGACAAAACAAAGATCATGTTCAATGTCCATGTCACACCTATGCCGGTAGTTGTTGGGAGCACTATGCTCGAAGTTGTTGACGAATACGTTTACCTGGGACAAATAGTCCGACTAGGTAAGTCCAACTTCGACCGAGAGGTCAATCGACGGATTCAACTCGGCTGGGCAGCGTTCGGGAAATTACGGCATATCTTTTCGTCAGGTATACCTCAATCTCTAAAAACTAGATTGTACAACCAGTGCGTGTTGCCAGTGATGACTTACGGATCTGAGACGTGGTCCTTCACTGCTGGCCGTATGAGGACGCTTAAGGTCGCTCAGCGAGCTATGGAGAGGGCTATGCTCGGAGTTTCTCTGCGTGATAGACTCAGAAATGAGGATATCCGCAGTAAAACCAGAGTGACCGACATAGCCCAACGGATTAGTAAGCTGAAGTGGCAATGGGCCGGCCATATAGCTCGAAGAACCGATAACCGATGGGGAAGAAAGGTTCTCGAGTGGCAGCCTCGTACCGGTAGGCGTAGTGTAGGGCGACCCCCCACTAGATGGAGTGACGACCTGGTAAGACATGCAGGAAGTCGATGGATGCAGGTGGCTCAGGACCGTGCTTTGTGGCATTACTTGGGGGGAGGCCTATGTTCAGCAGTGGACTTGTGAAGGGCTGTAATGATGATGATGATTCAAGTACCATGTGTATATTGGGGTTGAAAGAATATTCGCGCACCCAAATCGTCCCGTGGGTGTGGCACCATCTTCATAGCATTTTCTTAACTAGTTGTTAGATCCAAAGTAAAACAAACCGCGGTTGCCAACCCGCCTGCCAAAAGTAGAAATTATGGCAAATACCCCCCCTTATGAAATTATCTGTGGGGAAGCTTGTATGTTCAGTGATGTTCAGTAGACTTTGATAGATTGTAATGAACGTAATTTCAGAAACTGTTAGATCTCGTCAACACATCGTCATCTACTTAGCGGGTCTAAATCGTCTCGTTCGGTGACTTCGTAAAATGATATTTGTAAGCTGTTACAAAATTTTAAATATATATATTAGCATTTTTAATATATTAGGTATATAGCATTTTAATATGTTAGGCATTCAAAATATTTTATAATAATTTCTATTATTTTAAAATTTGAAATTTCGGTGAATAACTGTGTCTAGATAGGTAGGTATAACGATTTAGGCAAAAACCTTGGGGTCACACGCGCCGCCCAGCGGCTTGTTTTGTAGCGGCCGTGTCAGTGACCTCATAGCAGCCGTAGATAATAGTGTCGGTAACATACAGCAAATAACATTTTTGTAAATATTAAATTTAGTAAGTTATCTTATTAGAAACTCTAAAGCCCCATTTAAAGAAACCAAAAAAAATTATCATTTTCATAATTGCCATGCCTACATGTACACCTAATACGTCCCTGAAACGGCCAACGGGATTTTTGTTACATACTGTATAAGTATTCCAGATTTCATCATTTTTTGGAAATAATTTAAGAGTAATATCATACATATTATGTAACAAATGTTAACACATTTTTTTGTTTAATTACGCGAACAAAATAAAGATATTTACATTTTGTAAACAAACACTTAAGGAAGAATTGACAAATCTAATTTACTGTACGGTCCGGAAAATCTTTCTTGGTAAATACAAATCAGATTTGATATTGAATTGCAAATTACTTTTTAGGGAAAGCTTAGGCGGATATCAGTGTTCTATATTCAGATATTTAATTTATTTTCAATTTAGTTTTTTTTTTCATTGCTTAAGATTATGGAGTATGTTTTAATTTAAGCATTAGATGTACTTGGGGATAAAAGGAGCGGCAAGTTGCGTAACATGTCGCTCAACAAATACGTGGAATGTTCCGATACATATGTTGCGCAAAAGAAAAAAATGAAGAAGAAATGTAGCCCGGGGAGGTAGTGGCGATTAGTGCTGCGTACATAGGTAAATACTATGTATATTCGGGAGTGAAACGTAAGCGAAAGAGAAGGTGGTGTATGCGGAATTTCTTAATGTAACGAGAATTCTTTCTTTATTGTTTAAGTGATCTCCGAATGTCTGACAGATCTTTTGTAAATTTTACTCGAATGTTAACATCTGATTTGGAAACTTTATCACAAATGATCGGACCCTCCCTAGCCAAACAAGATATAATACCACGAATCGCTATTGGCCCTCATATCAGTCGGGGTTGGTCATCTGGTGATCTTTTGGGTTAACTAACTCATAGATGGGCGGAGGCAGTAGATTCCAAGGTCCAAGTACGATTAAAGGCCTTCGCTATGTACATACTAACTCATGATCGGTTTTGGCACAAAGCGTTTCTTACGAAGCTTCCTTCCTATGGGCTTCCCGAGAAATTATGTAATTCTAATTGATGCCCCGATCTGCAAGAAAACTGGTGACACCAGTTTTCTTGCAGATCGGGGCATCAAAGTCGTAGTAGACGGTGCATACTCCGATTTTAAGCCCATTAAGACTGGTGTTCCACAAGGCTGCGTGCCATCACCAACGCCGTTTCTTCTGCATATCAGTGGTATGTTGCAAACCGGTAGCATTTATTGTT